GCTCATCCCAGTGCTCATCCCAGTGCTCATCCCAGTGCTCATCCCAGGGCTCATCCCAGTGCTCATCCCAGGGCTCATCCCATTGCTTCCAGTGATCCTCCCAGTGTTCTCAGGGCTCTTCCCAGTGCTCCAAGCGTTCCCAGTGCTGCTCCCAGCATTTCCAGCGCTCCCAGTGATCCTCCCAGTCCTCATCCCAGGGCTCCCAGTGCTCCCAGTGCAGTCCATCATCCTCACGTGGCTCTCCAGAGCTGCCAAACCGGAGAAGGAAAGATCTCTACTTCTGGTCACATCCTCCTCCTCTTCCTCCTCCTCCTCTTCCTCCTCCTCTTCCTCCATGGACACGTTGTCATCGGCCAGCTCGGCGTCGCTGCCCTCGCCCCCCCCTCCCGCCACGTGCACGCCGTCCTCGTGCGCGCCCATGTGAGTCTTCAGGTTTCCCCTGGTGGTGAAGGCGCGCCCGCACACGTGGCACCTGAAGGGCCGCTCACCGCTGTGCACGCGGTAGTGCATGCGCAGGGCGCCCGGGCAGCTCAGCACGCGGCGGCACAGGACGCACTGGTTGGGCGCCGCCGGGGCCGCCGGCGTCCGGTCGATGCTCTCCACCAGCCGCTGCAGCTTCCAGGTCTCCGGCGTCTGCCCGGAGTCTGGCGGGACGCCCGGGGGGAGGCTCCAGTCCTGGGTGGAGAGGGGAGGGGAGCCTGAGGGGGGGGGCTGGGGCTTGGCGCCCGCCGCCACCGCTACTGGGCGGGGCCTCGGGGGGCCACTTTGGGGGAGGTGCGTGCTCTCCGTGGTCAGTATTTTGGCGCCACTTTGGGGGAGGAGCGTGCCATCCGTGGTCAGTATTTTGGCGCCACTTTGGGGGAGGTGCGTGCCCTCCGTGGTTAGTATTTTGGCGCCAATTTGGGGGAGGTGCGTGCCCTCCGTGGTCAGTATTTTGGAGGCTTCCGACTCTGAAACGGGAGAGAAACGAGCCTCACAGCCTCCGCGCTCAGTCGACACACTTACAGGCTCCCCGATGGCGGCGGCGGGTAGCCGCAGACCCGCCGATGGCGGCGTCCTGCCCTCCAGCCAGCAGGGGGCGGCGGGCTTCTCCGGGGGGACGGACATCCCGAAGGGGATCCCGGAGCTGGTGGGCACGGCGTCCAGGTACTCGGGCACGGGGAAGGGGTTCATGGCCACGTGGGGGTAGCGGTCGCGGTGGCGCTGGAAGTGCACCTTCAGGTTTCCTTTAGTGGAGAAGCGGTTGCCGCAGACGTTGCACTTGAAGGGCCGCTCGCCGGTGTGCGAGCGCAGGTGGATCTGCAGCGCGCTGTCGCTGCCGAACACCTTGGCGCAGAAGCGGCACTTGTGCCTGAAGAAGGGCTCCTCGTCCGGGCCGGGCCGGGCCCTCCGGGGCCTCAGCAGGGCGGCCAGCGGGTCCAGCGGGTCGCCCGTGGTGCCGGCGGCCATGACGGCGTCCGAGGCGTCCCTGAAGGGGGCGGGGCCAGTCGCCGGGCGACAGGCGGCGCCCTGGGGCTGAGCGGCCGCCTGGCCGTTGGCGCTGGAGGGCGTGGCCCCGGATAGAGGCAGCAGGGGAGGCGGCGCCGGCGAGGGGAAGAGGCGGGGCGCGGCGGGGGCGGGGCTTAAGGCGGCCTGCGTGGGCTGGCGGTTCATGACGGCCACCTGGCTGCAGATCTGCTCGATGAGCCGCAGCTGCTGCAGCTGCTGCCGCTGCAGAGCCAGAAGGTGCTCCAGGATCAGCGGCAACGCCGCCGCCATCTTCCCCACGCCGACGCCGCCGCCGGCGCCCTGGGAGAACTGGGCCACCGCCACCCGGGTGCTGTGCAGGATCTCCAGGGTGACGTTGGTGCTGGGCGCTGCCTCTGGAGGCTGAGGGCTGCTCCTGCTTTGGTCCTGAGGGCAGCGCTCCACCTCCATGGCATCCGTGGCGTCCGTCATGGCGTCCGACCACTCCCTCCCTTCCTCCAAGCTATCCAAGCCCTCGATGTCCTGCATCAGCTCTAAGCAGTCGGGCGACGAGTCGCTGGACGCCAGGCTGGAGGCCGGGGACGGCCCGGGTTGCGGCGAGCAGCCGGGCGCCATCAGCAGCGTGGCGTCCCGGGCGCAGGCGGCGAGGTGCTTGCTGAGCTCGGCAGGAGAGCAGAACTGGGCGCAGCAGCGGCCGCAGACGTGCGTCTCCTCTGGGGCGTCCAAAGAGTCTGAGGGGGAGAAGAAAAAGGCTGTGAGGCCAGAACCAGAACCAGAAGATAAACCAGAAGATAAACCTGAACCTGATCAGAAACTAGAACCTGAAGATAAACCAGAACCTGAAAATAAACCTGAACCTGATCAGAAACCAGAACCAGAAGCTGAAGATAAACCAGAACCAGAACCTGAAGATAAACCAAGAGATGAACCTGAACCTGATCAGAAACCAGAACCTGAAGATAAACCAGAACCAGAACCTGAAGATAAACCAAGAGATAAACCTGAACCTGATCAGAAACCAGAACCTGAAGATAAACCAGAACCAGAAAATAAACCAGAACCTGAATATAAACCAGAAGTTAAACCTGAACTTGATCAGAAACTAGAACCCTAAGATAAACCAGAACCAGAAGATAAACCAGACCCTGATCAGAACAAGAGTGTCTGGTCTCCCCTCTGAGCTCCATCATCCTCCATCTTCTCCAGAGTCTTCAGGAGCAGCTCTCCAGCTTCTTGAAGGACGTCCCAAAGCTCTTCTCTGGATGCTGCTGGATCTGTTCCTCTTTACCTTCAGATCCTCCTCTTTTTTAGGCCCAGCTCTTCTTCTTCTGTCCTCCACTGGTCCAGTTTCCTCAGATGCTTTCAGGACTCTCTGCTCACCAAATGGAACAAACGATGTGTCTCTGACAGGCTGCTGCTGACAAAGAGCCTAAAGTTCCACTTTAAACTGCTGCTCTGCTTATTGGACACAACGCCGGCTCATCCCTTGAGTTAGGGGGCTTTTTTTCTAGCTGAATGACTCAAAGTTCAGCGGCTGAACAGAGAAAAAACACATTCCTCTGAAAACGCTCAGTTACAAGGACAGAAAATGAGAGAAGAAGCAGAAAAACTGAAAGCTGCTCAGAGAGTCTTTGGAGGTTAAACGAGAGGCTGATCTAAATCTAAACAAAATTCCCTTTGATTTATTTAAATGGAGAAGTAATTTAAAAATCACAATTATGTTAAACAGCCGGTGTAAAAATGTTTTAACTCCTATTAATCACTTTCCCAAAAAAGGAAAGAGGGGAAAAAAGAAAAAAAAATCAATAAAGTCCAGTGAAGTTATCTGACATATCAACTGTGCATTCGAACCGATAATGAAACTGCAGGCTATCGATTCCCGTTTTTATGTAATTCAGCTTGTGGCTCGTCTTTTTTCCTCTCACCAGTTAAAAAAAAAGCTGCAAATTTAGCCGAAAATCAAACATTTCCTGCAGCTGAAAGTGTAAAAACCTGAAAACGATGAACAAACACCGACTTCTGCGGGCGTTCTGTTGTTTTCGGGGTTCGTCCGGAGCTCCGAGTCCACCTCGAAGGCACCCACAAATCTCAGCGTTTGCAGAGAAAACTGGAGCATTAAAGCAGAGAGAAGCGGTTTACGGCTTCTGGGGAAGCAGGGCGTCCTGACGTGGATCGGCCGGTTCCCAGCTCCCTCTCGTCCCCTTTTAGAAGCTGATATTCGACAAGACAGCAGACTTGATGGTGGCTGTTGCATCTGTTGGGGTTTTGGCCCATTAGGAAACAGACAGCGAGACCAGATGGGAAGAATCGGGCAGATTAGGACTCCCGGGCCTATTTATTCCACTTTCAGAGCCTCATCTTTAAAAGAAAAAGGACAAAATCTGAAGAGGTGAATATAATTTACTGCAAACTGTGGTTTATTTTTCAGTATCATGTGAGTCATTAATTTATTTAGTGATTCAAACAGCTTAAAAACAGGATTTTTTTTAATGGTTTGTTCAATTGAAAAGAGACAAACTGAGCGACTGTCAGAGACAATGGGAGTTGATTTTAGTTTTTTTTTGCAGCGCCTGTTTGAAAGTCGGACTCCTGAGCTAAATAATCGGAGTTCCTGGCCGTCCGAGTGGGTGGTCTGAGGATCACCAGGGCGATTCGGCAAACACGGGAGTGAAAACACAGTCTTACCCTGCCTCAGATTCCCCTCCAGAGAAAACAAAGCAAAGAGCAGATTTGATTTAAGCCCTTAAATGCATGTCCAAATAAAACAGGGGATTTATTTAAACGCCGTCCTCGTTCGCAGCTCGCCGTCAAGAACAGAAAACAGATTGATGGCCGTCTCTTATGTGCTTTGGCGAGCAGAGGGCCACGAGCAGCCCCAGAGAAGCACTAGAAGAGCCCGAGAGGAACCCCAAATGAGCCCGATAGGAACCCCCACAAGAGCCCCAGAGAAGCCCCAGAGGAGCCCCAAAAAAGGCCCAAATGAGCCCTAGAGAAGCACCAGACCTGCAGCAGGAAAAAGCTAAGTTTGCTCGGCCCCCCCCCGTGCAACCTCTGGTCCACGTGCACTAATTGGCTTTAGATCCAGGCAGGGTGAGGCGGCAGAGGTTAAGTCAGCCGGCTGCAGGCCCCCGGCACCCCGACACCCTTTCAGTATAGGAACAACAAACGCACCACGAAAACAAAAAGCCCCCCGAAAATAAACCGAGGACAAACAGATTTCCTCATTTGTTATCACACAACCACAAGCTGACCAAAGCCAGCATCCCCTTAACAAAAACGGCTCATTGAGCAGTGCTAAATATTCCACCCAGTCGTTTAAAGATTCACGTTCCTGTTGATCTGAATCCGAGCCGTCCCCTCGGACTTCATCCAGTTATTTTAAAGTTCCGATCACATCCAGGAAAACCCGGCCTCTCAACATGAAGACATCTCTGGTTCCAAGTGGGTGAAATGTCCCGCTCGCCGCTGGTTCTCCGTGTTGCTGCTCCACATTTACGACAGCAAACAGAAGAGTGTGGGAACCCTCCACAAAGCAAACGCTGGACCGAGGCCGCAGTTCCTGCTCATTCTAATTCATCCAGGAAACATCTCAATAAAGAAAAACAGCAAACAGGAAGTTTTAAAACACCCCCAAATGACTTGAATTTAAATTGAATTTGCCCCTTGGGATCAAACATAATGAGGAATTTATTCTTCTGGGTTTTCTCCTATTTTAATTTACTTGTGTGTGGCAGGCGTCGACATCTTGCCTATTCAAAATTACATTAAACTCAATATATTTTAAATATTGATAAATTCTCTTTATCCAATTTATGATAATTAAGATTAGATGTCATCTTTATGTTAAATTCTTCATGTTGCCTATATTTAAAAAAAAAAAAAGAATAAAAACTTATTTTAAAAAGATTTTTAAACAAAAATGTAAACGTAGAAAATAACCAAATAAAATAGAATAAAAAACTTCCGTTGGCTGGTGGAACGTGGACGGGGGAGCTGCGGGGTTTTGGGGGTCCTCGCGCCCCGGAACGTGCACCTACCCCTCGCCTGCCCTCCCGGAGCCTCCTCTCCCGGCCGGAGCTGCTGCGGCCTGGCTTGCTTGCGGCGGGACATGTTGCTCCGTGCGCTGCCTCCCGCCGACTCATCCACGAGCTGCGAATGGGAGGCAGGGGGGCGCGCGGGGTCGGTGAAATACGCGCGCGGCGGCTGCTGCTGATGTCCGTGAGCAGATTGCGCATGTCAGTGTAATTATGATGGAGGGGGGATCGCGCTCTGACTCCGGCTTCCCTGCGACGGGTGATTGGCTGCAGTCCAGACGGCTCGCGTTAGTTATTGAAATGAGGGACGGCGTTTAATAACGATTAGTCCACTTCCTGTCCGGCGCGCGCTGCCTTTTACGCGCAGCTCCGCGCGGGGCCGGAGCTCCGACCTGACCTCCGGAGGCGTCTCCTGAGTTTCGGCTCAGTCTCGGGTCTGAGCTCGCCCTGCTCGGGCTCGTGGTTTAATTTCCTCCAGGCTCTCCTGGACGCGCGTGCGTTAAAACTCCACTCAGAGACGAATCCTCGCGCTGCGGTCGGATGTCCCGCACTAGCACTTCGGGCAACCAATTCCCCCTTAAAAAAAAAAAGGCAGCTCCTCCCGGTGGGTCAGACTTCCAGGGGTTAAAGATGCGCGTAAAGCGGGGTTTGTGCCGTCTCTGGGGGCTGTCAGAAGGGGGCCCCCCCCCCCCCCCCCTCCGGTGGGACTCCCCGGTGTGTCCGCGCGCGCTGCCTCCGCCTCCGGTCCGTCACCAGCCGGCTGCGATAGGCTGCTGGTGAGGTGTTGGAGCCCCTCTTCATCTGTCACGACCTCCCACATCCTGGTGCCATGTCAGAGACCAGCTCTCCCCCTTTCCCCCCCCCATCTGATCGTTGTTTTCAGGTTTTTACGCGCGTATTGCGGGACGCTCCTCGCCAGCAAACACGGCGATCAAAGCAAAAAAAGAAGCCACTTGAGTTTGAGGAGTGAAATAAAACCTGTTGTTTAACTCTTGAGCTCCATTTCAAAGCTTAAAAAAGAAGGACGCATCCTTCTCCAAAGCTGTAATCCCCCTTTCAGCCCGCATTGTGCCCCAACTTGTAATTATGTGGTATTAAAAGATGCGGCTGGGGGAGGACAGTCAGCTGTGCCGCGCAACAGCCCGCTATCGACCCGCATGTCTTCCATTCCCCTGCCACAGAGAGATAAGGAGGCCCCACTCCGCTCGGAATATCATTTCTCCCCGAACTATCAGGTTTCCGCAGACTTATGATGAATAGCCGCAGCTTATCTGGGAACTTGACCCTCCTTGATTCGATATCGATTCGCTGTAACGTGCCACAGAAAATCTAACCGGTAACCTCTTGTTCATGATCTCCTTCAGATTCCAAATGGCCTCCAGCTGTGGACTGTAATTGCTGCCTCTGGCCTTTTGAGTAGCATCAGAAAAGGCCCTTTATAGGAATAAAACGTGCAAGAAACTTAGAAAATTAAAGTTTCAGATAATAAATGCTTTAATGGCCTGATTATTGGATTTCGAGGCTTTTGTTTGTGGACATTTTCCGTCAGATTGCTGATTTCAGATGTTTACTTTTTTTAGGAAATCTCACTGGGATAAGAAGCGAGACTATAAAAAAAGATACAGATATTTATTTTTCAGTATTATCACCAGTTTGAGTAGAAATTTCAACCGAATCCAGAACCCCAGTTGTTCTAAATCCAGAAAGCCAGAAAACTAAGTTTGGTTACTGAATTTTGGTTCCAGTTCTCTTGATTCCTCTCTTTTGGTTCCTGTCTCTTGGTTCCCGGATGTGAAGGTACCACCGATTATGGGGGGTTAAACCAGGAACGGACTCAGATTTTCTGAAAACTGTTCAAAGATGAAAAGCTGATTTTCTTCCACAGAACTGTTCAGATTGTTCAGACCTCTGAACATGCTGACGTCTGTTTGGAGCCTCAACCAGCCTTTCTTTCTTAGTCTAAATCGTATTTATGTTCTTTTTTTTTGTTGCCTTTTTAAAAAAAGTCCTTTTACTTTGACCTTAATGGGTAGAATCTGTAGCTGGGCCAAATCAAAGTGGGGCGTCCTGTCTGTTGTGGGACATCTGATGTGATCCAGAGGCCATGGGTGAACCCCAGCTAGCTTCTGAACCCCTCCGACCCCAAACACACGTGTTGTGGCCCCTCCTGGGACCTGTTCTCATCCACAACCCACAGCCTGCTCCACAAAGGAGGCGTTCCGGGTCCGAGCGGCTCCCCGGGGGGTGAATCACTTCCTGCTAGAGGACGTCCAGCTCTGTCACACGTTTGCAGAGAGGCCTGTGAAACACACCCAGAACACACAGTCAGCCTGTTGTGCTGGACAAACCTTCTCACATCAGTCAGTGGAGGGAGTTTTGGGGGATTTTGTACTCATGGAGTGCTTTATGCCCTCACCATATCTCATCTTTAGTGGAATAATAAAGTTTCTTCTGTTTGGCTGTTTCTCTAATTCAAGATCTTTCAGAGGATAATTCAATGTTCAATATTTAACCGTATATATTTATAGCTCTCATATATATATATATATATATATATATATATATATATTTATATATAGTTATTTTAGATATCTGTGTCAACTATAAATGACAATTTCTTTGTGTGTCCACTAAAGTATTTGGCAATAAAGCTTTTTCTGATTTCTGATTTTCTGACCCCTGAAAACTCAGACAGGTTTTTCCTTAAAGGGGAATCCGAGAAAACCGACGAAACAATCCCATAAATTACCACAAAGTGTCAACGGCTGCAACATTCAACAGCTAGAACATCCAGAACCAGCTGTGATCCAGTTCTGACTACAACCAGGAAACAGGACCACATCAGTCCGGTTCTCAGCTCTCTGCTTTGGACCAAAAATTTAACCTAAAATGACCCCAAAAATCTGCTTTAAATGTGTTAATCAGTACATAAATTTGAAGTGATGATCAGGAATAATCAGACGACAAACACACGAAATAATCACAACCGTCACAAACTCATCTAAAATTAAGTTCATCAGACACAAAACCACCAGAAAAACGACACAACACAGCTACAAACTTCTCACTCTGGTTCACAGAAACCGGCCTCAAGAGGATCGTACCAACGTGCTCAGATCTGGACACGATGCTCCCGAAGAGGCCACGGATTCATTAACGCCTCGTTTGGGATTTGAAAAAGCTTTTTCTGCTTTGTATAAAATGCACAAAGAGGCCGTTAACTGCTTTTTGTTTCAGCCGATCAATAACCCAATCAGACGGCTCAGGCGGCCATTTTGCTTTTCTACAGACCAAATGAAGTTTTCCCGAAGCAAGAAATGCCATTTAAAGCTTTCCAACTGGTTTCATACTGATACCTAAACTTATGCGATTTTTTGGGGGGGGTAAACAGTCTTTTAATGTAATTTAATCCAAAGGTTACAAAACAAAGCGCTTTTATTGTTGAGCACAAACATCCTCGCATGCCACCAGTGGTGGAAATGGATGAGGGGGGACAATGTTTGCTCTAGAAGGGAGTAAATATTGTCTGTTTTCACCGTCCGCTGCAGAAGCACTGAGCTGCAAAACACAACAAAACACAATTTCACATGACTGAACTTTTGTGTTTTTTTTAAACACAAAGCAGAACGCAGTTTTTTT